CAGATATGACTAGCAGTTTTACCCAGTAATTAAAAATTTTCAATTGTCCATATGGTGAAGACAGTCAGGAATACTATTCCCTAGTATAGCAATAATCTAACACATGGCATTTACTGACAAGATTGTGCTCTTCATAGAAAGGGAGTTAACATTCTAACTAGATGGAACACCCTTTTACCTCAATACACCATCCTAATAACACTTAGAACTTAGACTTCTACAACTAACTGACCTCTGCATGTTAATTTACACTATAGATGGAAAAATGTGTTGGCTAGAACTGTAGTATGTTACAATTTTATATTTTTGGAGGGTTTCAATAGTAAAGAATTCGTCTGGAAAGTTAGTGCTTCAATTAGCTCACTCCAACTTTTCAGAAACATTAATTTGCACAAAACTTTAACTTGCACAACTATGCAAACAAGTAGTTTTGATAATAGATAAAATTGTAAAGATTAAATTCTAAAAAAAATTAATATTTGAAATGTTTTACTATCAAAAAAACCACCTTGCAGCCGCAGCGCATTCAGCGGAAATGCAACCTCCTACCAAAAAGAAATACAGAGAGTAACAGAGTAACTTTTGTACATAATTTTGAGAAGAAAATTGTGTTTTCTTAGCATGACTATGATACCTTCTTATTTAAATATAACAAAAGGTATAATTCACCAGGTTAAGCATTCTGAAATAAAGAACAAAACAAAAGACATGCTGGTAATTGGAACTAATGAAAGCTTTTGACCACTGATTACACTGATTTGAAATCATATACTTTAACCTGAAAATAATGAAGGAATACATAGGCTCCTTAAAAGTTCACTAGCTGAAACAATTAAAAAACCCAAGTGACTCTAAAAGATACTAATGAATTCTTCCCATACTGGTTGGGAAGGAATACTAGTTTCAAAGTATCTTTGCATTAACAACTAAAAGGCACATTTGTAATATGACAAGCAAAAAGCAATGGATTTCAGGGGTAAAAAAACTCAAAAAAATACAAATAAAAAATCCCACCCCACACCTAAGAAATCCCCACGTTTTTCCCTCAGGGACCTCCAGGAAAATTAAATACTGCCCTCTATTCTAAAGAGATAATCCCATCTTGGAAAGGGAAAGGCAATATTTTGTAGAACGAGTCTTTATTAGCACAGAAATGCAGTGCATGCATCCAAAGCACAAAGCGAACCTGCAGCTGTCCCAGTGCCGGCCCCCAGGCACAGCTCTTGTACAAGGGTACAAGTTCCAAAAGAGAACCAATGGATGACCTGTGCTGCTGGCACGGGTTGCAAAGGCCCCTGAGTAGCCCCAGCAGCTTCCTAACCAGTTCCAGAAAGGAGCAGAAAGCCCAAAAAGCCACCTGCATTTTCAGCTCCCATCAGTGAAGTCTGCCTACTGCCCTCCCCTCACTCTGCTGTCCAGGCAGAAGGCGCTCTTGGGCAAAATTCAGCGTGGTCAGAAATTCTGGCTGTCTCTGAACAAAGATATGTGTGTCTGTATTTTAAAGCATAGCACTTCTGTTTTACTCATTCAAGAAGGCAAATAGTAAACATACCTGAACTATTTTATTAATAAAATACAGCCTGGGAAGCTCACCAGCTACAGATGTTTATAGCTTTGCCATATTTTGGTCCCAAAACTAAATATGGACATGCCCCACAAACTAGCAACAAGAAGACCTAAAAAAAAACCAAACCCAAACAAAGAAGTCCACCCACAAAACCTGCCAAGTAAGATTAAAACATGTGGAAAATCAAAGTCCAGTAGTTCTGTAAGCCTTCCAGAAACTTCCAAGGAATTTTTTTCCCCGAGACCTAAATCTGGCCACCTCATTTTTATGAGAGGCCTTTGCAATGTAAACTTTGGCCCAAACACAGCACACAGAGATGGCACAAAACCCAACTGATTCTTCATTTGTCAGCACGTGCTTGAAAAAATACAACAGGCAATCCACTGACAGGTTAGGTCTCTTGTCCTTCCCAAATTCTGGTGACACTGCATCACAGAGGCTGAAAAGGATCACCCTAAGAAGGTTACTGGAAAATATGTGCTACAAAGATGGTTTCTCCAAGCTTTCCATCCCATATCCCCACTATTGCACAACACATGGAGCATCTTTACATAAAGAACTGCAGCTGGCTGCTGCACTAAACCTTTCCTGGTCAAGTATTTTACAGCCCAAGCCTTCCTGCCTACCCGACAGTAAAAATGCTGTAATACCCTGATCCCTGGCACCACTGAAGCTGAAGCATCCATACTAAATAATCTGTTACACTATCAAAAACAACCAAAACAAATTAACCAAAGCCTAACAACTAAATGCAGACCAGTGCATCACATAGAGAGACTGTAAGTCCTACAGTGAAGTCCCCCAAATCACAACTGCAGCCTCCTACCAAACCAAAATGCATTTGTTTTCCTCTTCAAAGTTAATGTCCATTCTTAATCAGAGCAGTTCTAAGGTTTATTCAGAACATGACTGGATAGAGGCTCAGATTATGGAAACATGGAATCCAATAATAATTTTTGGTGCTTCTGCAAAAGCCTTACATAATTCAGTGCTTCTCCTACTGCATATTTGGCATCATAAAAAACCCCATGGCTGATTATGTTGCCAAAAACTGAGTTTGCTTGTGCAAACCAAGCACATACCTGGCTTAGCTAACTGCACTAAAATTTCCCAATTAATGACTTGCACTGCAGGGAAAAGAGGACTTGGAACACACACAAGCGATGTCCAAAATCCTACACACAGGAACGAGCGCCTGAAGCTGAAATATCTGACAGACACATTCTGCTGTAGAGGAAATTTTGGAAAGCACAATTAATGCACTGCTGAGCGAGAACACTGGATATGCAAATTCAATCCATGAAGGCAGAACCAAAGCTGTAAAACTACATTTTAATGCTATCAGGTAAATACTCATTTTCAACCAGTCTAGTTATTGACTTTTCCATCCATGAAACTGGTGATCACATCATGTTTACTTGCCAGGAAAATTTACCTTGATGATAACTAATCTTCAGATTAGTTACCAAAGGAATAATATACATAGTATCCTGACAGAAATAACTCAGTATAAAAAGTATCACCTTACTGCTCATGATTCATTTGTGTTCCTTCACTATTCATGCCTACATTTGCATTTAAAACCCTCACTGATTATTAAAACGTTTAAATAAATGTTGAAGATGTGAAATAATGAAGAGCCATGGGAGAAGAGCTCTACATCTTGGATTAATCAACAGTTTTCTCTGGCATTCATTCTTATCCTGGAAGCCAATGGCAGGGCTGCCAGGAGGGTTTGGAATGCAGCTGATAGAACACCTGAGGGCTGCCACCGACCCCTGCCTCACCACAGCAACAACTTCGCTGTAAGAGATCACACTCTTTTACCTGCTCGTGTTCCAAACGCAAAAAAGGAAAAAAAAAGCATCACCACGTAAATGTGGGGGATACAACAGCACTGCTGAGCCTGTAGGAGCAAGATTCGACAAGAAAAAAAGGCAGGGGGAGGTGAATTTGAACCAAGCCTAGACGCAAACCACAGGCCACCCAACAGCTACAGCAAATGCTCTCTGATGGGATGCCCTGTCTAGAACACCTGAACGGAGGCTGTGGCGAGGGAGGAGATCACTCTCTTCTACCATGCCTGCAGCGAGAGGACCAGAGAAAACGGCCTTCAGCTGAGACATGGGAGATTCAGCTGAGACATCAGAAAGAATCTTTTGCAGCGTTAGGGTGGCCGGGCGTGGGAACAGGCTGCCCAGGGAGGTGCTGAGGGGACCGGGCGATGCCAGTGCGCGCGGCAGGGGATGCAGTGGGTGGTGGCGCTGGGCGGGCGGCTGCCGGGACTGGAAGGCACCTTGCAGCTCTGTGGTTCTGTGGCTGTGCCCGGCCCCCGTTTCGGTGAGGGGACGCGAGAGGCCGCAGAGCCGGCGGGGCCGGGGCCGAGGTGCCGGCCGGACCCGGGGGCGGCGCTGCGGCGGGAGCACGCGCTGCTGCCCGCGCCCGGCCGGCGGGGCGGCGAGGGGGAACGGGAGCGCCGGGACGGGACGGGAGGGGGCGCCCCGGGACACTCACGCTCCCGCAGCCGGTTCTTGAAATTGGGGTCGCTCCGCCTCTTGCGGTCGAAGTAGATGCAGTAGCCGATGAAGAGCGCCCCGCAGAGCCCCGCGGCGATGGCGCTGGTCCTGCCCACCATCATGGCGCCGCCGCCGCTCCCCCGCGCGAGCTCCGCAGGCACCTTGGGTGGGCGGGCGGCGCCGAAGGACCCTCCTTTCCGATACGTCATCAGCCCGCGCCGCGCAGGGGTCCCCGCACTGCCTGCGCAGGCCGGGCGGGGCCGAGCCGTGAGGCGGGAGCGGGTGGATCCCGGAAACCGCCCGGGATATCGCCGCGTTGAGCCAGCCGGCGTGCCAGTGCACGTGTGGCTTCCCAACCTCAGAGATGGTAACTCCACCCCTGCCCTGCGCAGCCCATCCGATGTCTGATCGCCCTTTCTGTGAAGACATTTCTCCTCATGTCCAACCTAAACCTGCCCGGAACAGCTTGAGGCTCTGTCCTGTCATTCTGTCCCTTGCTGCCTGGGAGAAGAGACGCCCCCACCTGACTACAGCCTCCTTTCATGTGGCTGCACAGAGTACTAAGGCCTCCCCTGACCTTCCTTTGCTCCAGGCTAAGTCTCCAGCTTCCCCAGCCGCTCCGCATAAGACTTGCCAAACGCTTCACCAGCTCCACTGCCCTTCCCTCACAACAAAAAAGCCACCCAAATCAAGGTAACAATTCTTACTCATCACAGACCCAGTCTGAATGTGAGTAATTTTTTTCTATAGCCATTGTAGCTACACAACTCCAAGAAAGTATTCACAGTTAGCCTCTGCAGCAAAACCTCAGCTGGAGAAGATTCCTGGAACACAGGAATAAAATCATGCAGCACCTCCTGCTGCCTTCTAGGAAAAGCCAAATGCCCCAAATCAAAAACCAAGAAGGACAACAGCCGTATCAGCAAACAAAATTTATGACACTCTCACATAAAAAAAACCACTCTCATACATATCCATCTTCGTAACACTAATCAGCATTTTTACGGGATTGTTTTTTATTAAAGGACTGTTTGTTTTTCCCAGCTTTACTCTTAGGAGTAGTTTTTGGTCTTTTTGGTTTTATGCTCTTCTTTAATGGGTTTGCCTTTTCACCAACAAAAGAATCGTTAGAGCAGCTCTTTTCTTTTTTCTTCTTCTTATCACCTCTGCCCTTGGGAGCGTGAGACTGGCCCAGACTTTTCTGTTCTTTCCTCTTGTCCTCTATATGCTGCACTCGTATCTTCCTTCCCATCAGAACGGAGTTGTTGAGTTTCAGAGCAAGATGTACAGCATCTGTGTTCTACAAAACCAGACAACCACTTTAAAAGCAGCATTATTTCTAGCTGAGTGCTTTCAAACAAAGACAGTTACCTGTCTTTAAAACTGGGAGGCAGGATTTTACAATGCAGAGCACTCAAACCGCTCTATTTAGGGAATGACACAACATCTCTGCTCAGGAACACCAGCACCCCCACACAGCCCACACACTGAGGCACAGACACTTGAAAACAGGCTATGAAACAGCTTACAATGAGACACTAAGGTCTGCAGGAGAGAGACAAGGAAAAATTGGGAAAAAAGGCACTGGGCTGCAGGAATGAACTAAGGGAAAATGAGGCTGAGAGACTGGCATGAGAAAAAGTTGTGCTGAATCAAAGTGAAACCAGTATGCAAAAGATGCAGGAAAGAATTTTACTCACATTCTGACATGTAAGAAATGGGAGAACATTGAAGTTATACCAAACTAACTCATCTGTCCCTCTGTTAAGTCTTTAAGGTAAAATCACTTCTTTCACCCCAGTGTGCACAACACCTAAAATATTTTGGTTTGTATCTGCTTGCACAGAACCGGTCTTGCAAGCAGCTTCCACCACACACAACAATGCCACCTTTTAACTTCCTACCTGCACACACACAAACCTCAAAAAATTACTGAAAAGAAAATAAAAATGGTCTAAGGGCAGACCCCAGTGCAGGTTTTGAAGAGCTCCCCATGCACCAGAGCACGCACCTCAAAGGCTCACACGCACCTCAAAGGCTCACACGTACCTCAAAGGCTCACACGTACCTCAAAGAGGACGTAGCCGAAGCCTTTCCCCAAGCCCGTCCTCCTGTCTCTCACCACTCGCACTCCCACGATGTCTCCGCAGACCTGGAAGTGCTCCCGCACGGCGTCATCGCGGATGTCTGTGGGCAACACAACGCAACAGATGCCTCTTCAGCGGGACACACAGGTTTGAAAGCCTGGCCCACATCCAGTTACTTCACATTTACCCACACAGGGACACAAACAATATGGACAAATAACCATGATTCAGAAAAATCCCAGCAAGCTGACAATGAAGACTTTATGAAGGGCTATTTGCTCTTACAGTTACTGCTTCTCCAGCTCTGAAGAGTACAACATAAATCATAAAGAACTAAGGCAAAGACGGAAATACATTTAGGAACACAGTAGAAATGAAGAATTCTACTATACATTTTTGTTGCTCCTCCTTATGCCAGAATTTCTTTCTAAGAATTAATGCTGATGATAATGAGCTTGAGCTGGCAGTTCTTCAACTGCTCATTGACTGACCCATGAATTTTAGCTGAATGGGTAAGAAGGGATTTACAGTTTCCAACCACAGCTGCTATGCAATTATTCTGATAATGGCTGGATGTATGAGCATTTCTCCATCTCATGCCTAGGTGGACAAACGTGATGTGCCATCGCAAAAATACAGGTTATTTTCTTTTCTTGTACAGGTACGCTTCAGGGAATCCCCTGCTGTGGACATAAACATCTCTCTGCAGAGGGGAGGGGCTGAACTCAACAGTAAGGGTTTAACTACAGCAGTGGGACCTGGACGTGCTGAGAAAGATCTGAGCTGCTGAAGTAATTTCATAGCACAGCAAATCACACAATCACAGAATATTCTGAGTTGAAACTGACCCACAAGGATCATCAAATCCCACTTTTAGCCTTGCCTGGACAGAGTCACTCAGCCTGTAGTTCACAGAAAGCACCAAAGGGAGAAGCCATCACTGTCCATCACCTGGAATTGGTTCACCAACAGGAATTGGTAACCCTTGAACAGTTTAGAGCCATGGCCTATGCAACTTAGTCATATTCATTTGAAAACCGTGAAGCAACAACAAGAACTAAAAGCACTTGCAGTGCTGCCTACAATAAAGGAAACAATCAAGGTGCAGAACTGGACTGAAACTTACAACCTCTTTAGGTGTTTCAATTAACAAATAAAAATTATCTCCAGCGAAAGGTATTTATCCACCTAATACCAAGAAATAAAAAGCCTAATGTCAATCATTCCATAAATGCAAATTAATGAAGCAGAACAATCCATTTCAGACTTACCATATGACAGATTTCCCACGAATACAGATCGTTTATTGTCATGCTAAAGGAAACGAGAGACAGGACAGTAAGTTATTTGCTACAGAAAAACCAAACCAACCAACCAAAAACAATAAAAACCCCACAACCAAACCAGAAAGGGAGATTTCTAAGCCACACACTTTCCTTACCAAACTGGTTTTAGATGCAGTGTCAACTCTGATGTGAAATCCACTGGCAATTTCTGTTCCATTCCTTTTGTGGTCAAAAACAAAAGGTTTTAAAAGTGAAATAAGCATTGCTTAATTGACAATGTCACTCCATAGCAGTAATTCCAAAAGCAAAGTTACTTTCAAGTTTGAACAACATTTTATTCTGATTCAAGCAAAAGAGGGGAGGTTGTTTACATTTAGCTATAAATCTATGAACTACCTCTTCAACAGGGTATGTGGAACAAAACTGAGACTTACTCCTTCAGAGCGTTCTGGGCATCACATTCTTCCTTAAAGACCACATAAGCATTGACAGACTTTGCATTCGGGTGCACCTTATGCCTGGAATGGGAAAAGGACCAGTTACTGCTTAAATCCTGCTGATGCTGTGCAGTGCACAGACACTTCCTGCTGAACACATTCTGCCTCTGCTTGTTCTGCCCACACGAACAACTTCATTTCCCTTGCAGGTCAAGCTACCCCTGTACATGCAAGGGAGTCCCAATGTACATCTTGTTCAGCACATATATGCACCCCGAGCAAGCTTTCTCAGCTCATAAACATATCCCAAGAAATTAAAGACTTTGAGCATCTTCCTCCTTCCCAAAATATAAGAAATGCAACCTCAGGTAACAAATTACAACTATACATGGCACATAAGTCTTTATTACTTGTTGAGAAAACTAAATACACACAAAGGTAACGACAAAAGACAAAGAAACACAAAATACATAAAAAAGACCTAATACAGACAAACTTCTAATGACCAACACTTAAACATTGTTTAGGCCTTGAAAAATACACAAAATTCAAAAGGGGAACCTACTTGATTGCTGCTACCTTTTTGGACACGGTATCTTCTGCTGGAATCTTAAAGACAAAAAGAGCTTGAGTTAGGCGGCCTAGTGTTAACTTATCACAGAGAGTTTTCCCGGAAGACAAAGATAAATTCAAGCAGGGGCCACCCAAAGCAACATAGCCAGTACAGTGAGCAAGTGACAGAAGTAGCTGGACCTAGAGATGGTCTAAAAAACCAATAGAATTAAGGAGCTTGCCTTGAATTTGTCTGATATGTTTCTTGAGTTCCAAGAGGGTTATCATCAACTATTTTAGTGAGTACCCTGACTTACAATAATGTGTCTTTGCTGCTATGATTTTAAAAAACAGGTGAGCAATGCCTCAGCCAAACCAGCAATAGCAATGGCCATCCCACTTTCAAGAGAACATAAAGCTTCTGATCCTGGATCAGATGCTGCTACAGGAAAAATGCATTCTGTGGTGCTCCTGGGGTAACATCTTCCAAGACTCTAAATAGCAAACCCAAAATACCCCAAACCACTTTCTGAACTAATGAAAGATACAAGCCTTACAAATACAACTGTCCTTTAACATCAACAAATAATTTAGTTATATAACCATTAAAGGAAATAACATTACCAGAGACCGGAAGCGAATGGATTGGATTCGTCCGTATTTCTTAAAAAGAGATGTCAGCACCTAAAGAGATTGATACTGCAAACACTCCAGTACACTTTTCAACCTGGTAATGAAGAATTATTTTTTAGTATTTATAAGTAATACTATTCTTACACTGTTTTCCTTTTACTTATAGGAGGTCCCTTAATGGGCTACTAAAAAAAAATCGCAAGTAATTTGTAACTATTTCTGTGGTTTTTTGTGGCAGCTTTCTTCTTCTACAGAGTGCCAAAACTGAGGTTGTGCCTCTTACAATCGGAAGAAAAGTATAAATTTAATATGTTTTATGTAAACAATCTGAAGCACTGTTTGCATACAAAATTAGAAGCAGAGTAACTTTGTAAATGCAGTTCTCATTTATTTAGTAATTTTTTCATTTGACAAGGAACTGACCAATTCTGCTCAAGAAAGGAGTCACTACAGCCACTGTTGCAGGAATCCCAGCTCCAGGAAACCAGAGATTGTCTCTAATGGTTTCTGAGAACAAGCACCATTTCCTACTTTCAAAAAAGCAGCTCCAATCACAAGCGGTGTGTGACTTCCCCAGCTGGAAACATCCCTCAAACTGAGGACTGCGCAACTCCTTCATTCCTTTAGTAGGCAGGATACCCATCCACGTACCTGAATAGTGCAGCTGACAGGCAAGTTTTCCAACAAACACCGTTCTTCTGTCTGCTGCTTATCAGCCACCCTTCTTCTCTTTTGCTGTTTCGCAGTTGCACCCGTAGCTGAATTTAACAACACTTTTGGCTTGAGAAACCTTTTGCTTTTGTTTTCAACTTTGGTTTTGAAGCAATTTTTTGATCCTCCTCTTCATCTGCCTGCTCGCAAAGCATTCTCTCTGACCAGAAACGGAACAAGCAGGTACAATTGATGGGAAAAATAGAGGGGATTTGGGGGCAAAGAACTGAAGCCTCCAAGATATTTTTAACTTACATTTGAAATTATTACGTTTATACTCTAAAATTTCAAATATTATTTTGTTTATTCTGTATTTAAAAAAATGTATCTTACCATTCAATAACATGAAAAACTATTTGCTTTCCTCAAGACACTGCATTCACTACCTACCAGTAACAATACAGAAAATACTTCACAACTAAACAATTTTATAGCCTCTAAAATTGAAGGGAAAAAAATCATCTTTGCGTAATGCTGGAACTTAGAATATATTTTAATCATTCCTGAGTACGCAGGAGACTCAGAACAAACCTCTGGAATACAGCTATGCACTAACAGGTCTCTCTCTATCAAAACCTGCTGTAAGAGCACGAGCAATGAGCAGATCTGAAGGAGCTTCCATAAGGCTACAAACACAGGAAACAGGTTCCATGGGCCCAGGGACAGGATGAGGGGTTAGCCTTGTGCTACAATCAAGTTCGCTTTATTATCCAATAGTGCACTGTCGAGTGAGCAGCCTCCAGCCTGCTCTGAAGCACCTCGCTTCAAGTATTTAAGAGAACAGTCACAGAGAGGTTCTGTGTCACTGCAGAGGCCCAGTGGGACACAGACAGCTCTGTGCCTGGCACCTCGCTCCTGCTGAAAGCAGCTCAGCTGGATAAAGCCAAGGACGGCTAGAAAGCCGCTCCCCGAGCAAAGAGAGAACTAGATCCATGTGTCTTCAAACCGCTGAGCTGATGGCTCTCTAGCAGGGCATTTGCACTTCACAGACCTACTGTTTCAAGAAGCTGCACTAGTTCCTCCTTCAGGAGAAAACTACAGAAAAATTTGCACAATCTTCAAAGTAATTTTAAAGCACCAAGTTGAAGATGAGTAGTAGACAAGAACTGCCTTGTTTTCATTGAACTCATATGACAATCAATTAGACGCTTTAAGTTTAAGTATAAAATGGGTGTCCACCTCCCTCTCTGTCAGTTTTTTCTCTGCCCTGAACGCTCCTTTTTTCTGGCCTTCTTTGCTTTTACTGGGAGTTTCTTGTATGTTTGGATAAGCTCTGGTCTTCTGACACTTTCTCCCCTTCTTCCGCACGCTTCCTTTTCTTCTTTCCCTTAAAAAAAGTGCAAGAGAAATCAGACTTGAAGGACAAAAATTCCAGGAACGCCCTGAAGTTACTTCGCACACTACAACTTATTTAGAGCACCACTGCCCGAGGCCGACAGCCGCCCGAGCCGACAGCCGCCCCGCCGCTCTCACACAGCGCCGGCCGGCCGGGAGCGCTGCCACCGGCGCTCGCTCACTCACCCCGGCACAGCCACCAAGCACCGGCGGGGGCAGCGGCGCGGAAGAGGCGGGCGAGGGGCGCGGCGGCGGCGGCGGGCGGCCCGAGGCTGCCGACACCTGCCCCAGCACGTACTGCTCCTCCTGCCCCCAGCACGTACTGCTCCTCCTGCCCCAGCACGTACTGCTCCTCCGGCCCCTCGGCCGCCGTCGCCGCCGCGGCCCCATGGCGGCACCGAGCGCGGCGGAACGGGCTTCGCGCGTCCACTTCCGATGCGCGGGCCGGGAGGGGTTCCGGGACGCCCCGCAGCCACGGCGGGACCGTGCCGCGCGTGGGCAACTGTGGCACCCTGAAACATCCATCAGGACAGACGGACACAGTGACGCTGTGCAGGGGAGGTTGAGGTTGAACGTGAGGAGGTATTTTTTCACAGAAAGGATGATTAGATATTGGAATGGATTGCCAGGGAGGAAGTGGAGTCACCGTGCCCGAGTTTAAGGAAAAAACTGGGCATGGTCCTTAGTACCATGTCTAGGTTGTTTGGTCATATATTGGACTTTGATTGATCTCAGAGGTCTTTTCCAAGCTAATTGATTCAGTGAGGAGAGACTGACTGTCTCACTGATTTCCCAGCAGCCTCAGTTCCAAGGGGAGCTGAAGCAAACCTGACAGCACTCTGGCTGTCTGCGTTACGCGTTTTGATGCAACTTTTTGAGCTGCCACTGTAAGCAGCCCTGTTTGCCACCAGCATCCAACCAAAGGCTAAACAAGCGACCCAGCCTCTTGAGCAGAAGTCTCGGTGTTGACGCAATGCACCAGGTATCACCCCTGCCTTTGGCCTGCTGGATGCTAGGAGAGGTAGTGCCCTAATGGATGAGGTCAGCCCAAGAGAATACACAAATCCTTTGAAAAGGGGCAGCTGGCTGCTACATGACTTGTAGTGGGCTTTTCCAATCTGCCTTCACACAGAAGAGCAGCACTGTAGTGACACAGGAGGGGCAGAACAGCCTCAAACCATCATCCAATTGCCTTTCAGAGACTCGTGGCCACTGAAACTTGGCAAGAGACGTACAGCCTCCAGGAACTCTGCCTAAGAGAGAGTTCAATCCCTGTGCCAACAGGAAAATTCCACAGTTGTGATGGTAACTACCCAGTCATAAATATGGGCAGGTATCAGTGGAGACTGCAAATAAGGGGAGGTGGAGCACTGCAGAGCCTTCAAATAAGGCATGTGTTTCCCTCAGCATATGCTGATCTCAGCTATTCCCAACACGATCAATTGTGGGACACACAAACCTGAGTCTGTGCCTCAGCCAAGGTGTAGAGAACACAGCCAGGGGTGCTGTAGAGAACACAGCCTTGCTTTTACCTTTGGGATCATGGTCCAAGCAGGCCTCAGGAGTGTGGGCACAGCACTGCTAGTGGCACACTGCCTCAGCTGCAATGCAGAGTGCACGTGCCAGGCAGGGAAGCGCGCCCACGTGTTAAAGCTGCGTACAGGACGTACCTTGAAAAGCAACTCAGATTGGACCCACTGGAACATGGGATAAAAACTGCCTGGCTAACAGTTTGACAAAGGTATCTTCCTTTGTTACTTACTGGGAGACAAGTGGTTCCATGAATCTGGAGATTCATCAGAATATAATGAAAATGAAATAATCTCCTGTATCATGGGGAAAAAATCAAAAAATCCTATTTATGCAAAAAACTTGACTTGGGAGCAGGATATGACCAATAATCCCTGTTTTTAAAAGGCAAACAAATCCCCTCACCAGATCAGAGTCAGTAATTGTCACATTCAAAGCAAATACACTGGCACTAAAACTGGGAGCTTGATCAAGAACTAGTAGTGAGTGAAGAGCTGAATTTGAAATCTTGCTTGCCCAGATGTAGTTCCCAGGTTACATCAATTCCCCTTATTCCTACTGAAACTGAAAAAGCAGAACTGAACTACCATGATCCTGATTCCACTAAACTTAAACTGATGAAAACATCCTCTCAGTAGCTTCACTGGAAAATATTAAAGTTACCCCTGTCAGTTTTTGGATCATCGTAATTTTAACACAGTCAGTGTTTCCAAAGCTATTTGTCAATGGGTTGTTACTGTCAGTCTCGCCAGTAATCTGTCATCTTGCAGTGTAACAGTATTTTGGTCACCTGAACTACAGCCAGGAGTTTGCTTCAACTGGCTCGGCCTTAATGATGGGCCCATGCTTTCGCCTTCTGCTGAAAAACGAGGATGGATTTGAATTAATCACTAAGAAGAAAATTAGGCAAATGCACATGCTCTATCTTACCTTTCTATGTCCCATTACACCGAAGATCATTTCCTAAACTAATGTCTGCAGCTTGATGTAATTTTCATGAACACACTACAATTGCTTAATTAAACTGTTAGAAACAAAATCAGGGATTCACAAACTATGGCATTTTATTTCAGAGGCCTTTGCTTACATTTGTACAATATATTACATAACTCTCCATTTTCTGCAGAACCTAATATATATTTTATAGCTTTTTTCTATAAGCTTTTCCTTCAATGTCTGTCAACAAATTTTTACAGTCCTGTACAATTCTGAATACTTTGAAACCATTTTCAATAAATCAGTTATAACCTTAAGCGCACACTACGAAGACTGAAAATGCTTTTCTTAGAAAAAGTCAAATGAAAAGGATTCTGACACTCTAGCATCTACAAACAAAATGCTTCAAATTCTTACATGTTGTATTGCCAGAAAACAAAGAAAAACATGCCAGCCCCTATTTTCCCCAGGCAAAAGAAGTACACAGAACTACAATTAAAACAGTAAAACAATCTGTACAATAAAGTACTGTGTATTAACAGTGCCAGGTATTAAATAGCTTGAATGAACACTTCCGCAATATACAAATGTCTTACAAAGGTATAGAATTAACAGGAGAGAGCTTGGGATCCATTCAACATAAAATCAATACAAGTGAAAACATTTCGAAGTTGGTTTTGGGAATTTGTACAAGGGCATTTAAAAAATTAAACATCTACCACTCGGCTAGCTAGTTATTTTAAAAACAACTACCCTTTTGTGGCAGTGTTGGTATCAGCAACCACAAATTATAACCTTACACCTTACTCCCTCTTGAAGTCCTCTCCTAGAAGCTCATAATAAAATAAGCATTACAAATGAAATATTTGTTGCTTTAAGGGGAAAAGAAACATTTACAAGAAAACACAAAAATATACCTGTTATAATCCATTATGAATAAATATACACTTTAAACTGGCTGAATACAATCTTTATACATTAAGATTTAATACAGTTTGTTAGCCATTTTCTTTCTTTTTCATAATGTATTTTATCAAAATTAAAAAAAAATACTGTTTTATAGAAAAATGGCAAAGTACAGTAGTTTCATTCCAATTAACGGGTTCTTAAAACCCAGAGTAACCTACTTAAGCCTAATTCAAACCTGTAAACATTAGTCAGTCTTTTTTTTTTTTTCTTTTAAAAGGAATCCTCATATTTGGTTATCAGGACTGATGTCAGACATCCTACTAACTGCAGGTTTTGAATAGATGTGCTTGATGTATACAATTAAAGCCACTATAAGGTGACTTAGCAGTTAAAAAACAATTAGCTTGTACAAATGAAAATATTTTCAATATTTGTCATAAATAAATGGAAAAATATCAAATGTTCCAGCTTTAACAAAATACCAGGGAATACAGTAAGCCTTACCACATTGATTTAGATCACCCCAACAACTATATACTTATTGTCCTGTCTCTACAGGCAGTGAACAGCCTCCATTTGCCACAGTGGAAGGCCTTCGAGTCACTAGACTTACAATTCCCAGACAAGTTGGAAACAATTATTGCTTGAGGAAAAGCAGTTTGTTGTACTTTTTCTTCATAAAAGTGCACTTAAGTGCAAAGTTAGCTTGTCAAGAAACAACTTTAAATACAAAATAGTGCTTGTCTGAATTTTGTGCCACTGTGCAGTATAAAAAAAAAAAAAAGAAAAAAAAAGAGTGGCCCTCAGCAGCCATTAAGTGCAAAGTGCTTTGGCAAGTCCTGCTGTCACCTGCACTCAACTGACATTCCATTCTGTGATGAACTTGACATAGATGGTTCTGCTAACGTTAACATAACTGCAGCCGTAATGGAACTAGAGGAAGGTGATGAGGAGGAAGATGATGTAGTAGCAGCACCTGCACAGGAAAAGGAAAACACAGATTATAGAGATTCATAAATCCAACAATAAACATGTCTTCCTGTTCAGCAGCAAGCACTGGTACATACTGACTCCAGCAACCAGTGCCTTGCAATGGAAAAGTAACCAGTCTCCACTGCCTGGCTTGTGCAGGAAGCACTCAATTTAACTGGTCTCCCTTAAAGTCATGGAATAAACTCCTTATCCCAAGGGGAAAGCACTAACTAGGCCCACAAGCAACACTACAGAAAATTTATCTGTAACTTGAAGAAAAAGTAGAAGTTATTAATACCCTTTGTTCACTGCTTAGAAAAGTTTATTTTCTGCATATTTTTTCCCATATGAAGTAGTTATGCCTCAAGAGCGTTAAATAGACTGCACACCTTGGTAACTCTTGCCTCTCTGCAGTCACTGGGTATCTGATCCTTCTGATGGTCATAAATTACCTGCACACAGCACTTCCCAAAACCCAAACAAAAAGACACTCCTAATGACACATCTCCCAGCAAATTATCCAGTACCTTAATATAACATGCAATTAAGCCCCAAAAAAGCAGAATTTCATTTCCAGCACTTACTTTCCCGCTCTTTTTTCTTTAAGCGCTTTCTTCTTCGGTCAATGGAAGCCACCTCTGATTTCAAGGACAAGTAATGTTTCCTGATTTCTTGCAATTTTTCTTGGAGAACTGTTATGCGCTCAGCACTAGTCAGATTTTCCAAGTCAGCTGCAAGTTAAACAATCTCTGTTAATTATTGTATAGAAGCATTTCCAGACACTTCTCGATGTCAGCGAAATGAAAGGTACTCCAACCTTAGTGATGTGCTTTGAGCTAGCACACAGCAAAGCTAAGAAACAACAGCAGCAGCAGCTTTACAAGATATTGCCATACACTTTTTGGCGACTCTTTAAGGAACTGGGAGAGGAAAAAAAGATGCATTCCCTTCCCCATCAGGAGGAATAGGATTATAAAAATTAAGACAACTGATGAAAACATCAGGGCCAAAACTAGCTTTGAGCCTGTTGCTTTCAGTCCTTGCTGGAGCTCAGTTTGGCCCCAG